ACTGTTTCATAACTTTTAATGTATTTATGTAATATGTATACTTTTTAGTATATCGTAAACGCATACACATGGATTTCGCTGGACCTTACAAGCATTAAACAGCTGTTGCCGCTGTACGTACTCGCTCGTAGCTCCATTGGGACCAAAATTCCAAATAAGCAATTTGCTGTATGGAGCACTTACGAATGTACTTACATATGAACACATATACACAAAAACGTACTATAAATGTATGTATGTATGGATGTATGCTTGTACTCGTAATAAAAGTAAATGTTATGCGGGTGTACATAACGCCCATTAAGCGAGCAGCTAATTGCCTTTAACACAGAAGTACAGAAGTTGTTGCGATGTCGAAACCACCCAGCTGTCACAGTTGAGGCGAAAAGCGGGTGTAAGAAAAACCTAAACAAAGGAGTTTCTTTTATTTTTAGCATGCTAAGCGATGACTCAAAACCTTGAACGTGTTTACATATTAAATTAGCTGATTAACTTAATTTATGGAAAACTTTGAAGTAAATGCTGAATAGGGAATTGCTTTGGATTTAAATGGACGGCAAAACTACTACACATAAGCTTGAACTTAATGAGCTTGGTCGAGAAGACGCTTTTCTTTTGAGGAAAAAGTTTAAGTTTAATAGAGAAGGGCTCAGATTCTGGACGGAATCATACTTATAATATGTGTCAACTAGAGTTTATTGTGCCATCGCAAAAAACCTACAGTCCGTCTTTTCATAGAGCCGCATTGTACCGACCAACCGTTGCTCTCAACAAATATTGCTAATAGGCTAACTGCTTGGAAAACTACCTATGTGTGTATGTAGATAAATATAATTAGTCTGATTGGGCAAAAATTAGGGTCTAGAACCTCTGAATCTAAACAGCTGTGGTGAGGCCTACGTTCTTCTATGGGATAGTAATTTGGTGGCTCTCAGTAAGATGGTTAACACTAAGAAAGCGAATAGAGTCCAATGATTTCCTTCTCAACTAATATCAGGGGCAATGAAGACGACACGCAACCAACCCAGTTTTTCAATACCAAATTCCTAATCCCACAAGGGAAGAATAGAAATCACATTTGCTCAGAAATAGGGCGGTTATAAAATGAGTGAGTCAAATGTTGCTGCATTTAAAAGTATTTGCTAAATGCCGTCGATCACTCAACGGGATGACCAAGACATTCGCACACATATCGGCCGAGCTTCTGGCCATAGCGATGGAAACTAGAAAACTGACGAGGTTGCTCGTTAAAGTGAAACTCTACCTTTTACAGGCATTAAATCGCCAGAACACTTTGGGCATCTCTGAATGATCGTCGCAACAAGTATCTACTTAATAAACTCGTATCTAATCTACATGATCTGAGTTAAGTACAAGTTAAAAAGCACTCTATATTTTTACTAAACTCCAAGTGATTTTGGGCTGAACAAGCATGACTTAAAATACCTGCGAGTACCTTAAGGTACTGCCGTCGAACCTAACCCTAAGATTTGCCTCTGATAAGAGTATCTAATCTGCAGCTGCTTCGAATGGAAATCAACTCTGGTCCCTGTTTCCATCTTCAATGCATCGGAAGCAAGCCTATATTCTCCTCTTGATAGAGACCCTGAAACTAAAAGCCAGGTCAACAATATTAGAATCTAATTAATTTCATGAAGCTATAATGTTATAAATTCACCTACGATATTTAAAAATTATTTCAGAAGCATAGGGAGAATTGCAAGATTCGGTTAAAAATTCGTCAAAAAGTTGTTTCTATGAAGATCGATAGGTTGGTACTTTGAAGTATATATATAGGTATGCATTTATTTTACAAAAAAAAAATGGTTTATTCAGATTTCGTAAAAACTAATTTAAGCTCTTTTGTAATTCATACCATTTTTACTGCACCAAGTCTTTACTAATCACACATTTCCCATTCAGAAAATTTAACTTCACAAAAGCTGTTATTAATCATAAAAACATTCAACGCTTCAAGTGCACAAGAGTGTATCGCAACAACAAATACGCTTCATAAACACAAACTGTGCTGGGATTAAACGATTGAGCAATAAAATAAAATAAAAACTTAGAAGATTAGCATAACAAATGAGACTGCAACTAAAAAGTTTACTTTCCAGAAGTACTAAACTGACTTTGGTGACACTAAAATTGACTATGATGGGTACAGTGTTTATGAAAACTTTTAAACTGTTCAATCGTTTATCACACATATGGATGTACATATGTATGTGGAATTTTCAGAACTTTTCTGGTTTTTATTTTCTTAAACGTTTTCAGAGATATTTTACGCTTTGCTTGGCATCTAAGATACTAATAGCATTAAGTAGTGAGTAGTAGCACAGGAGTGAGCAGTTTCATTCCTTTTTTCTTTCAACCACAGTTGTAGAGTGCTGCTAATATCCTCACATAAACACATACTTAAGGGGCATTCTTGCAGTCTAGTATAGCCCTTGCACGGTGCACGGATTGTACGGTTTGCAAAGCTGTCCCACACGAAAACTGATTTTTACAGTGCAATTCGTACAATCTTTTCGCGGTGCAAGGGCTTTGCAAGACCCAGAGAATACCCCTTTAGTAAACTCTTGTTGCTGTCAATGCGTCAGAACCACTGCACATTTAGCAACATCAGCAACATCTCGTTTTATGTTGTCGTCTCTGTTGCTGTTGCTGTTCACCTTACTAGTACATTTACACATGACAACGTTTATTTGCTACGTTTAGCCCTAGTAAACGCGCAACAAACACTCTATTCCAAAATTATAAGCGCACCATATATTGAAAAATTTACAATTATTTTAATTCAGTTATTGTTTTTTATAAAAATATAGTTTATTCTTTTTTTCTGCAATATTAAAAAAAAATACATTCTTAAAAATTCACGCTTTTAATTAGATCGCTTAGAAAGATTTTGATAAAGCAGTTTTGGGTAAAATTTAATGGGTTAAGAATTTGCATACTCAAAATATTTATAAAAAATCGAATTAAAAACCTTGAAAATGTGATTAAGATTTTTAAAATAAATAACAAATAAACAAACATTCATAAAGATTGTCAATATGTGAGTCGCTTATAAATTTGACACGGGGTGTATGTGTGCACATTCTTATACGAAATGCGACGATAAAAGTCTGCTGCAAATATGTCAGTACATGAGTCGCTTTTAGGGGGAGCAAATGTTTGAATATATCTGTGACTTATCAGTGCTAGGGCAAGTAAATAAATGTAGGGTAATACATATATACATACATATGTACATACATATATGCTACATATGTCTTTAAGGTGTGTTTTGTAGACTTAAACTGCAGATGCGAACACATACATACATACGAATGTACATAGTCTTGTGTTTGCACAAATTTATATGAGAAATATGCCTAACTGGATATACATATACACACACACATACACACATACATATATGATTATTTATGCACTTACTCATATGCATATTAAAATTTAAATGCAAATCTCTATATGTAATTCCATGCGCCCTATTGTTGTCATTCGACGCTGTCAGACCGCTTGAAGTACGCCACAATGTCAGTCATTGTCGCAGCTTGCGCCGCGCCAGTATGAATCACAAAGTTCCAAAAAAAAAAGTATACTACATAAATACGGAGGGCCGTTCAAACTTGTAGCAATCATTTGTACGTGCATGAGTTGTCGTTTCGTATATTTGCACAATTTATTCTTACGAGCGTGTGCTTTGCTAGATACTCGTATAAAGCGGGGGTTGCAATTGGCAGCCGCTCATGCACTGCACTTATTACATTTTATGTCAAAGTCCATACCGAATTTGACACATTTTATTTATGTGCATTTATACATACATATGTATACAATGGCGGATTTGAATATTTGTCATCCCTAGGCAATTCAGAATTTGCCGCCCTTTTTCCGATAAGAAAAACATTTTGAACAATTAGCAGTAAATAGTAATAGTCGTATTAGTGTTAATTACTATACTTTTATTACAATTTAAGATGAAAAAGCGGTATTTGCCTTGAGTAAAGGTTTTCAACTTTTCAAGAAAGCCATCATCATTAACAAATTTCGAGAAGCTATAATCTCAAAAATACTGAATTAGTATTTTTAAATATTATTATTTAAATAATATCAAAAATACCTAATTGTGTTGTCCTATTTTCTGATTGCATAATTGAATATCAAATTTATGTCTTAAAATGTACAAACACAAATTCTACTTCCAGTGCAGCTAACTTGAAAAAAAAAAACAAAAATAATTTTTTTTCAACTCAAATTTTGCCGCCCCTGAATTTTGCCGCCCTAGGACCCTGCCTATGTTGCCTTTACGGTAAATCCGCCACTGTATGTATATATGAATATACATGTTATCGCAGATGTAGGCCCCATGGAAAGTTTTCGTATGGACACAGAATAAAAGCAGTCCCTGATCAACTTTATTGTAACCGTAGAGATTTTAGTATAACTCCTAGAAACCTCGAATATTATTAATTAATAATGCTCACATTATTAATCAATAGTGCATATCCGGTTAAGCTAAGAACTTCCATTATTTCCTCTCCTACCGTCACCTATCAGTTAATTTTTTATTTTGTAAGTATATATTTGTATGTAAATAATTATACTTCATTATTGGCATTATAACAGCCTAAGCGATTCTGGTCGAGTCTATGTTAATTGATGCCAACTGACTTATATTTACAAACCGAGGCGAAACTTGTATTTTGTACAAACAAAGAAATACGAAAATCGTTCAAAAAGCTTATGAGGAGAAGAATTACGACCATTGCAATCAAATTTCCTATAGGGTCACATTCCTTTGCATGTGATTGTCGTCATATTTTTACTTTTCCCATATAAACAATTGCAATCAATCAAAAAATGCATCAAAAACAAAAACAAATGCAATACAAAGAAAACACAAAAACCACAAACAAGAAATTCTTACAAACTTAATTAAAGGAATTTTAATACATAATTTTTATAGTCGTTACACACGCACGTCATACCATTTGTCGTTTGATGTGTGCAATTCGTTTTATTTCCTACTTTGCTGCCAAGCTGCCAACTGCCGTTGAGTACTCAATCAAATTATTGAGCTTAATTCGCTAAAAAGTGCAAAACTTGTGGGCGACTGCTGACTGCTGCTTCACTAGTATTGCTTCTTCACCTCAGCTTATGCGCTTACAAAAGGTCAACGCGTAAATGGAAACTCGGCGCACATTCACCTTTCTTAATATCGTCGACTACTACTCGTATTACGGCGCTTGGTTATAAATATTCAAATAATTCGATACAAATTCGATGAGGCACTCGGCGGCACAAGTTGACTGCGGTGGTTGAAGGTGTATTGGAGGCGGTGGAAATTCTTTCTTCTTTTTTTTGTTTGGGTGGAGGAAAATCGATCGAAAATCGTCGTTGCAATCAAAACAATGAAGCGAAATCAAACGTGTTTACATATATGTACTGCACTGAGTGGTATGTATGTATTTGTGTTAGTGAAAAGGCACAGAATTATTGGCGGCTAGTTGGGCCTTTATGACGCAAACTGCTGCGACGTCTGCAATTATTCTACAACTTCGTTCTCTACTCCACAACACTCAACTCTACTTTGTTTCCGCTTCCGTTTTCTGTTGTCTGCTGCCGCTATGCTGTGCAAAGGACCTTAACTCCTATGCAATGCAGAGCACATACGCGGACGCACCAATACAAGCATACAAAAAAGAGGTCGTTGCACTATTTTATAGCTATTCGCAGACGTTGCGCACCGTTATATTGCCGTGGAGTAATAAATATGGCTGAATTGCCTCGGCAAGCCCTTTTAGTCCTTTTCACTGCAGTTAGTAATTAAATGGGCGTCCCATGGGATAATCAACGGCACTGCACTGTATACTTCACTTAACACGCCTTAATAACTTCCGTTTTGTGCGCTAGACTACCGCGTGTTTACTTGAAGTCACGATTGAAAACGCGCTGCCTGCGTGCCGTCTGGACGCCCCGCTGTCGCTTATTAAGTCGGCGACGTCTACGAAAATTATACGCTGAGATTCATTTAATTCAATTCAAATTTAAATCGCAAATTCAAATGTGTTGACGACGCGATTTGTTGTTGCTTTGGCTTATTTCGTGTTGATAATTGTTCTCGTCGTGCATATAGCATAATCAAGCCGCTTGTGACGCTACCGAAATGTCGAGCTGTTCATGTGTGTTTCCAACGTAATAAACACTACTTCACACAACAACAAAAAACATTTAGTATATGCGCAAGTATGTAGATACATAAATTCTATAAATTTGTTAAAATTCGTATTTGTATGTACTTTGCACGATTTGTTTTATCGTGAGCTTTTCGTCGTCACGCGCGTGATTCTTCAATTGGCCCGTCGAAGCGCACTCGCTTTAAACACAATCAAACAAAAAAAAAAAACCATTGAAAAAATATATTCTTTTATATTTTTGCATAAGAAAACGCTTAA